GTACCGAATACTGAAATTTTGGTACCGTGACAACACTAATTCAAAGAGAAAATAGTTATTTTAAACTTCAATAATATTACCATTTTTTTCTGTATTTTTGATCAAATAAATGCAGCTTTGCTCAAAAACACAAAAAAAAAAACACAAAAACAGTTTTAATATACCATAATAAAAACATAGTTCTGCCAGTAAAAGTCCAGATCAATACAGTTGATCACACAGACCTGACAGAGCTGCAGCTTTTCTTCATTTTTATGATCAGACTCTTCGTTTTCAATTTGTTCCATCAGTTGTTCAACAAGCCTCTCCTTCTCTCTCACCTACAACCAACAAACAGAGACACTGCTGAACAAAGACTCTCTAACGCAAGCGACTTTTCACACTTCTGCAAGAAGCACGTACCAAACACCATGCCATCTTCTTCTTCAGGTCCTCTAGATTCTGTCTCATATTGTCAAGCGACGACAAGCATTCATATCTTTCTTTCTTTTGCAAAAACAACTGCCTGAGATCTTTAAGACACTAAAAGTACAAAAATATGACCAATGTTTGATGTTAGTGTTGACTGCCTGTGTAAAACAGGCATTATGAGTGGTTAAGTAAGAGAAACACTAATAAAGATGCTTGACTATGAATTCACAAATCACCTCCTCTTGTCTTTCCACCTGTTCGCGCGTCAAGGCTTTAGTCTGCTTGATGTGAATGTAGTCTCTCTTCATTTGCTCCAAAAGAGTTGCTTTCATGAAAAACTTTAGGAAAAAAAAAAATAGATATGAAAAGTGTGAAAACAGTTAGCCATACAACACTGCTTCAGTTATTGATGGCATATATATATTAAAATAAAACACCTTGTACTTGTCTGCTTCACTTTTTGAATGCAGGAACTGTTTGCTCATTTCTTGATTGAGTATTGAAATGGGATTGTCAACCTGTAATATGAGATTAATCCAGAATCAGAAATAAATCGATTACAGGTTTGTGTGGTTTACTTTATACAACATGAATATTAAAACAACTAGATTTTTAACTTAGATTTTAAAATAATTACTTATCAATAACTAAAAGATTGCACTTAAAAGCATGCAAGTCATATGAGCTGATCTTTACTTCTACTTTTTTTTCCCCACCAAAAGTACCTGAATGCCGAAATGGTCCAGTATAGCAGTTAACTCTTCTTTCTTTGTGGAAATGACATGACCTAAAAATAGAGGATCTAAATATATATGAGGAAGTCCTGTTTCTGATATTACCTGTGATCTGAGAGGAAGTCATGATATTACCAGTTTTATTCTTGATTTTACAAGTCCTGCAACCGTCGCTTGTGATCCGATGCTCAATGCAGATGCTGTCTCCATAAATGTCACCTTTATAGGGGTCGTTTCCTCTGTTTTTTAATTTCACTTTAATGTCTGCAAAACTGTAAACAAAAGGATCAAGAGTACTTACAAAAAAAATCTTATCTTATGAAGATTCTGCATTTTGTATTCTAAAATATACTAACCTCTCTTCATATTTCACAAAGCCCTTCAAAGATGTTCCTCTGTTGGTTATGGTTGCTTTTCCACCAAGACCCACTATAAGAGCTGTCAGAATGGCACTTTTCCCAGCTTAGATTGGCATAAAAAATGCATACAGAACATTGAGAAAAGACTGTTTTTGAGTAATGACCCACATTGTTAATACTTTCATGTTTTTATACCTGTAGTTCTCAACTAGGGCTGCAGGGCCCACTACTAAAAATCATCTTACAGTCATTTAAATTTAGTTATAATCAAAATTAAAATGCTACAAAATAAACAAGTTCACCATTAAACTGACATCATATTTTTTGTTTATTCAACATTTTTGTTTTTATTAAACTGAAGTACCAGAGGTGTGTATCAGCTTAGATAGGAGGGCTTTTGAAATCAAAAATGAAAGATTTATTTATACACTATCAGTCAGAGGTTTGCACACACTGACCCATTATTTACTGTAAGTATTTTGCACATTTTAGAATGCATAGCATAGTGTTCTGTTTACTTTTCCATTAGAATCCACCCAAACAACAGCCATTTTTGTGTTGGGGTCAATTTGACGTACACTCAATTTTCAAACTGCTTGAACTACTGGTTAAACTATTTATTTATTTATGAAATGTTGTGAATATTGTTTGGGAATTTATACAGGAATGGCTGTATAAATTCCCAAACTGACCCTCACTTTTTCCATGCAATTTGCATGACTAAGAGTCAGGCAAAAAAAACAAAACAAAACAAAACAAAAAAAAAAACTTGGGCTGGGCAAGTTAACGCATTAATTGCGTTTTTTATTATTATGAAAGTCCGTTGCTCACTGGCTGAATACACATACAGACAAACCATGGGTCACAGGAGGGGTGGGA